TGACAGCTCCGTGGAGCTTGGCAGTCTGGCCGATGCTGAAGATAGTGTAAACCCTCTGGGCTGAAGGTGCAATGGCCTTCTGGACTACGAAGAGCCCGACCGAATACCCAGCCCTCTTGGCAATCCATGTCGGGTCCTTGTGGTCGTCGAGCGTCGCCGTGCTGGCTGCAGTCGGCTTCGCTGCAGCAGAGGTGGCAACGCTCGAGACAGCATGCTTAGCCCACGCGTCGAACGTGATGGTCTGACCCTTAAGGCAGCTGAGGCTTTGCAAGAATGCGTTGCACCTGTCGCCCCACTCGCGCTCTTTGCCCCCCCGGCCCATCCCCCCCTTTCCCACGAGCTTCAACGCAGCCCTCGCGAATAGCTGCCCTAACGGCTCCAACGCCGCATCGATGCCGCCGAGCCCCTTCGCGATGCCCATGGCTGGGTCAAGAATTCGCTCAGCAGTATCTGCTGCAGCCATCTTAAGCTTACTGGCAAGCTTCGTGACGTCATTCTTCACCAACAAGCGCGCCACGCCGTCCTCAACCTTGTCGCCCGTGAGGTTTGCACTTGCAACCGCCACCCGAACCAAAGGATGCAGGTTGGTCTTCGACGCGAAAACTGCGCGGGCCAGCGCTTCCCAAAAAGTTCGCCCCAGCGTAGCGTTGCAACCAAATTGCTTTGCACCAGGGCCCACGAACGAAACGAGGGGAGCGCCATCGCCACCACCAAAATTTTCGACGAAGTCAAGCAAGGTCTTGCTGTAGTTTGCGCTCGGCACGTTTAGCGAAGCTACGTTCTCGATAGCCATATCCTTCCAGCCCGCGAGCTCGCGCACCCCTGGGCCATTGGCACTCGCCGCCAAAGTCATGCAAATCTCCAGCTCTCCGACCTCCGTGCCGATGTGATTCTGGGTGCGCAGAGCTTTCTGGGCTACATGGGCAAAGCCTGGGAAAAGCTCGTCAATGATACTTGGGACCACCTCCCACGCCCAGCCTTTCTCAATCATGAGTTTGAATTGCGCGTTCTGACACAACTTCTGCACGTCAATCAGATCTGAATCAACCATTTGTAATGCCGTCTCAGACGTCCTGCCCTGCGCCCCTGCCTGCTTGCACAAAGCCGCGGTGTGTCCGCACCCGACTGTCACGCATCGCTCTGAGCCATTAACTGGCGCCAGTAGCCCTTGGGCTCGGCCCACCAGCGACTTATTCTACGTGCTGCCAACGGAGGGGGGAGTTGATCCCGAGCTCGATGCACGCGGCATTCGATAGCTGGCGCATGTCGGCCCCATCTGCGTATCTGCGTGGATCCGAGCAGCATTGCGATGCACATTGCGCGGGCTCAACAGAAGCCCTCCCCGGTTTGAACTGTGCGTGAGAAAGAATGTTGGAGGGATGTTGTCCACGCGGTACACCAACTTGTGCTTGCGAAGGCATCCCATTAGCATGTCCATATGCTCGTTCGCCTTCACTGTTTTGGAATCCAGCATCCTTGTGAACTCACGTTTGAAAGCTTCGGTAAGCTGAGCCATGGTGCTGCGCAGGAAGCTGGAAGCTAGCAGCGGATGCTTCGAGCCGAGAGGGCTACGCAAACAACGGATGGCAAACGCAACTGCAAGTCGAACGGTTTCTCGAATTTGCCTAGCTCGATGCCCATCAACTACCTAATCGCTCGCATGCCCCCCCCCCCCCCCCCCCCACACACACACACGCACTCTTATCCACAAAATCAAAGTTCATGTTCTGAAAATGTGTTTGCGTGCGCGCTCTGCATGTTGATGTTGAGTCCACCGAACGATCACGCAGATCCGATGGGCGCTGTTTCCCCGAGATTTATCGACCAACGGATGCACTCGGAAATGTTGTCTGGACCCCAACATGTTAGTTCCAAATTCTGTATGTTATCGTTCATGCCCATGTGGTTTGGAAGTGTGTGTTGCAACGGTGTAACATGTTAAAAACGTGGGGGGATACATGTTAAACACGAATTCTTTGTTTGTTACCACTTTTGCATAGGCCGAGCCCCAATGTGAGCGAACTTGCTCTGTATGTCAACCTGCCCTGAGCATCTATGTTAACCTACTTTGAGCATCTATGTTAACTTAAGGTACATATGATATCACACCTATGGAGAGTACGCTACGCTAAACCATGTCATACCTAACAACCGCTAAACCTATTATACAGCTTATGTTGACTTACTAAAGTCAAGGCTGACTTTAGCTAAGTATGATAAACAAGCTTTGTAGCTGTATCATGATAATGCTGATTTGCAAGAGGGATATGAGCACGCTGCAATCACCTTGGCAATTCGCTATAAGGCTCATGAGCTCTAACAAAGCCGACATTCATCTCAGTATGAGTACGCGCCACGTCCCGCGCTCTTGCCGAGGCCCGCCCCCGGGGGCTGCGCGGGCCCCCAGTGAGGCTCAACCCCATACAGGCTGAACTTCGGACTGGACCATTCCGGGCGAACGCGAATGCCTGAGCCGTCGTCGCGGGTGAAGACGAAATCCCACACGGGCAAGCGGACTGCCTGCGCTTCTCCTCTGCCCACCCCTTTGGCGTGCCCCTCGTGGTCGCAACTGCCCGGGCACGGGCGAAACTCGCACCTGACCAATCCGCGACTGCGGTCGCTGTCAGGGCCGCGCGCGACGAGTTCCATTGTGGCCGCATCCACCTGCGCGACCAGCTGCAGCCAAGACCACGAGACCACTTCTGTGCGGCCCCACTCCCAGCCCCTGTTGCCCTGCGCCCCTCCGCGCCCTTTGAACTTGATAACGCGCACAATCTGCTCCACAACTGCGGGGTCAAAAACAGGGAATCGGCCGTTGAAGGGGTCAGCTGGGTTTTCGTAGTACTTCAAGGCCGCGTTGCGCTGCCCATAGTTGCCATGCCAGCGCGCCACTGTACACCCCAGGGCGGCTTGCGTCCGCCACTGCGGCACCTCCTCGCCCTGGGACATGCGCCACGGCGATTTTCCCCTTGCCATTCGCGTCGTCTGCCGCTCGCCCTGCGGGGGCACCCCCTCCTTGGACATGCGCAACTGCGCCTTGACATTGATTTCGCGGCCGCCCCCCCGCGTGCCCCAGGGGCCGTCATCCCAACCGCTCCAGCGGCCGTCTTCCCATCCGCCCCAGCGGTCCTGCTCGCGTTCGCCTGCGCCCTCTCCTCCACCGCTGGCGCGGCCCCCCCAACTTCCACTACCGCCATGAGTTCCGCCGCCACCCTCCTCTCCGCATTGCCAGCCTCCGCCGCCGCACTCCCATCCGCGACTGCGGTCAACTCCGTCGCCGTTTCCCCATCCTTCCCTTTGCCAAGCGCAACTGCGTCAATCTCCGCCTTGCCGTCCACCACTGCGGCCATCCTCGCCGCCCCATCCGCCACTGCGGTCGCCCCGCCATCCACGAGCTGCCCCATCGCCGCCTTTGCCCCATGGAGACTCCGCAACTGCGGCCCTCCTCTTCTGTGCTTCCTCCAGAACCGCCGTTTCGCACATATTCGCCAATCTGTGCAATCCTCTGTCCATCCTGCACAGGCGCGAACCCGCGCCACCGCCGACGTCGGCGTTGGCTTGAGCCGAACGGCACTGCTTGAGCCGAACGGCGCTGGAGGAGGAGGGCGGGAGGGAGAACACAGTGAGGAGGATCGGGGAGGGGTCGAGAGCTCACCTTTCCAGGGCGCCCCCCCGTGACCGCTTCCTCGCGGCGGGGGGGGGGGTGCCCCAGGGCCCAGGGGAGGTGGCCAAAACGCGCCCCACCAGAGCGCCCCCACCGTGACCGCTTCCCGCGGCGGGGGGGGCGCCCCAAAACCCAGAGAGGGAGACAGAACGCGCCCCTCCAGGATGCCCCCCCGTGACCGCTACTCGCGGCGGGGGGGGCGCCCTGGAGGGGCGGCGACGACGGCGGCGACGGCGACGACGGCGGCGACGGCGACGACAAATACAAACATATATACCAATAACAATATATACATATATATAGATATGTATACATACATACAAGCATACAAGCATACAAGCATACAGTCATACATACATGCATACATACATACATACATACATACATGCATGCATGCATGCATACATACATACATACATACATACATACATACACATATATATGTGTGTGTGCGTATACATATATATATACACATATATATGTTTATATATATATATATATGCAAACACCCCTGAAGGCAGAGGGGCAGAGGGGAATGTTCGATTTTGAAATAATTACTCTGGATCGCCGCAACTGCGGCTTTGTTGTCCCGCTGGGCCTCCAGAGGCCGAAAATGATGAGAAAAACCTCGCCGATCCTTCCTCGAACCCCTCCTCCTCCTCGTTCTCCTCCACCTCATCCCCCCCCGGCCCCCTCTGGGCACAGCGTGGCGCCGGACAGGAGCCACCGGCGCACCTTGCAACAGCCCTCTCCTCCTTCTCCTCCTCCTCCTCCTCCTCCTCCTCCTGTTCCTCCCTGCACTCTTCTGGCCACAAATCCGCATCGTTCAAAGCAGTCCCAGGGAACTGCTTTGAACGTTGCCATTCTTCAAAGCAGTCCCCGGGGACTGCTTTCAATCGTCCTCAATCGTCCTCATTATAAGGGCTTCTGGATTAGGCCGACGGACCAGACCAGGGTGGCCCAGGTCATGTTGTAAACCAGACTGCCTGCGTCCAGCCCTAGCTCCACCTCGAACAGGTACCCCAGGTGGCTCCAGGCTTTCCTGTCGAAGAATTTTGAATGCGGTGGGGGTTCCTGATGGACGCACGGCGTCAACACGCTTCTACGACAGCGCCCACCAGACGAGTGACATACAGGGCTCCCGAGGGGGCGGCGGTGCGGCGTTAACCATTAAACCGTACGAGACCAATTAGTGTTTGCCAGTCTGTCAAATGAGACCGTGCGGATCACACTTGGGCGCATGTCGAACGCACACAACTTGCAAGATTTGCACCATGTAGCGTGCACACTGAGAAGGCAGGACCTCAGAGCTTGCGGTCCACGCTGGCGAAGATGATTTTCTCGACCGCGAAGATACTCTGGCATACTCCTGCACAGCCGGCTTGTGTATCGACTAAGGCAACCTCCACCCCGCGCAAAGCGCACGTTCCCCGTCTCGGAGGTCGCCGCGCGGGGGCTCTGCGCAGCAGGGCTGTACGAGCTCGCAGGGCTGTACGAGGCGCCAGTCCAGAACACACCATCAACTCAACTGTAAAGTCGGGTCGGGCGAAAGGGGGGGATAGCAAAGGGGGGGTTTGAGAATCAGCTCACGTAGCTGATTTTCCCGGCGCCTCCCGGCGCCGGAGGCGGCCATGTATCGAGGAATGGGCCCCTCGGTGAGGCCGAAACCAGCTGCATGCAGCTGATTTCGTAACCCCCCCTTTCCCAATCCCCCCCTTTCGCCCGGCCCGATAAAGGATGGTGCTCCTCAGCATCTGGAAACGGCAGATGACCACCACCGCCATCCCTGACTGCGGGGCCGCCCTCGGCCACTGGGACGGCGAGCGGCCACCCGGGCCTCGGCCGTGACGACTTCGGCGTTGGCTTCTCGACACCGCGGGGATCGTTCGACCTCCAACGATCGGTGCCTTCCCGATCTGGACGCCTCCAAAATAGGATGGGTTCCGACACGGGGTCCAACGAATCGGCGATGTCGGCGAGGCATCGCCGGCGTCGGCGTGGGAGAAAATCGGGCTTCGCATCGAGTCGCATGGCGGATGCATCGGCGATGCGGCACGATCCTCGGGAGCAGCCAAGAGGGGGGTGTCCAAGAGGGGGGGGGTGCAAATCATGACCGGCGGCATGTGCGCGGCCCAGCGGGGGGGCCATGGACGTAATGAAATAAGAAGAGGCGCCATGGAATCTGGGGAAATATCATGGCCCCCGCCATGATATCCACCCCCCCTAGTCATCACCCCCCTCTTTGCCGCACCCGAGATCCTCCGACCCCATCTGCTCGGGCCCCGATTGGGAGGCCCGGAGCATCGCGGGACCGTTTTTTACCTCGGCCGATCCCGGGCCGCTGGCGGCGTTCAGCCTTGCTCGCCCGCGCCGGGGCCGCCGCCGCGCCGACGGCGACGCGGTGCCGCCCCAGGATTCCCAGGATGGCCTCGGCCAGGGACGGTGGTGGTGTGCCCATCGCTCCGAACGCAGGCTGGGTTTCTGCCCGCCCCCCTCTCGAACAGAGCGGGAACGGACAAACCACTCGACTCTCGAAATCGGCCGGTTCGTCGGCGTGTGCGAGACGCGCTTCCGTTTGAGCCGTCGTCGTCGACGTCGTCGTCCGCGTCGTCGGTCCCAAGGAAATGGAGTATAACAAGGAGAAGGACGTCCTGATTAAGTCGACTCCCTTCCATTTTTATCCCTTCCCTGCCGGGGGGGGGGGTTGTGGGTGGGAGGTCCCGGGTCAGAATACCGCCCCCCCAAGGGTCCCGGCGGGGGGGGCGCCAGCGGGGTCGGCGGCACCTGCCGCTAGGCCTTGGCAACAGGAGGGCGCCAAGAAGCAGACCGGGATCTGGGCGTCCGCACCTGCTTTCCACGAGCGATGGGGTACGGGCTGCCCTCTGTGGGTCTCGCCGCAGCTGGTCCCGCTTCGCGGCGCGGCCGCGCAGCCCGTGGAGCGCGCCGTGGGGCCCCGCCGCGCATGTGGCGGCGGGGCGGGCCCTGCAGAGCCACGCGCGGATCTGTGCGGCGCACCCCCTCGACGCGCTGTAGGCGGGGGCGCGCGCACCGCGGTGGCTCCCGCGCCAGGGACCGACCTGCCCGTGCGCTCCGCCGGCCTGTGCCGCAGCCGACCTGCCGTCGGCCTGCCCCGCCCGGCCTGCCCCGCCAGTGCCCGGCCGGCGCTACCGCGGAGGTGCGCACGCGCACTGGCCGGCGCAGGCCTCGTTGACGATCTCGTACGACAGCTGCACCTGGACAGCCGACGAGATGCACAGGCACAGTCGTCGGAGGCCCGCCGGGATTCTCTTGGGCCAGCGCTGGGACCCCTCCCCTCGCGCCTTGACCAGCAAGCGCCGACCCAATAGATCCCCGCGGACCTCCGACGATGTACGCTCATAGTGCTTGTTGTTTCCCGAATACCGGCTGCCCATTGCTCAGGATCCAGTCGACACGGTTCCGGCACGAGTCGGAACCCCCGTACATCATGTTCCCGCTGTACTCGCACTGCGCGTCGCACTCGCTTGTGGGGCTCGGCGACGGCGCCTGGCAGGAGCACTGCCCGCTGCACTCCTCGTTGACCTGGCTCGTGGCCGCCGCCGCACTCTCGCCGCCATGCTCGACCAGCCAGCTGATGCGACCGCGGCACGAATGCGAGCCACCATTGTAGTCGCAAGGCGCGTCGCAGCCTCCACCCGACGTAGGTGGCACCATGGGCATCAGCGTGGTGCCCGAAGTCGGTGCTGGCGTAGATGCGGCCGGAAGTGCGCACGCACACTGGCCGGCGCAGGCTTCGTTGACGATCTCGTACGACAGCTGCACCTAGAATGCCGATAAGATACAGGCGCACTCATCGGAGGTCCGCGGGGATCTCTTGGGTCAGCGCTGGGACCTTCCCCCTCGCACCTTGACCAGCGCGCGGGCCGCGTCATGGGGATGTGGAGCGGGGTCCACCGCCGACCTGAGAATTACCTGCGGACCTCCGAGACTGTACGTTCGTAGTGCTTGTCGGTTCTGGTAAAGCACGCAACAGGACGGGACGCGCAAGTCTGAGCCCCCTCTGGGCCCGAACCCGCCGAAAACACGAAACTGGTTACTCCAAAACTTTCAAAGATGTCTGAATCAATGTTTCTTTCCCGACTGTCCATCGTGGTCGTGACATGCGGAGAGCACGAGCAAGGAGGCGATATGCGGGGGAGGCGGAGGAGGAGACGAGAGCACGCGGGGCGCTGCCTCTTCAAAACGAGAACCCAACATCACAGGATGGTTGGGAACAGTCACGCAGCACACATCCACACCAAAAACCGCACATCACACGCCAGCAACAGTAAACCTTGCTTGTGTGTGTGCTGTGTTCTGTTATGCCTGATGATGGTGACGATGGTGAGATGATGATGATGATGATGATGCTGGTGATGCTGATGATGATGATGAAGAAGCGGCAGATGATGATGATGATGATGATGATGATGATGATGATGATGATGATGATGATGGTGATGGAGACACAACAACGATGGCAACGATGATAATGACGACGATGACGACGACAATACAGACGACGATGACGATGGCGATGATCAAGGCGACGACGGTCATGGTGAGAATGATGATCACGACGACGACGACGACGACGACGACGACGACGACGACGACGACGACGACGACGACGACGACGACGACGACGACGACGACGACGACTGGGGTCCCAGTCGTACCAAACAACGTCATGTATGCGCGTGGTTCTGTGCCACGGCCCAAGGTCCGCATGCGTTTCTTTCCTCTGGTAACACAGAGATGGCACGGGCATCGTGGTGCTGCAACAGAAAACTACTAGAACCATCGCGCGCTTCGCACGCGCTCAAGTTCTAGCTGGGCTGGATGGTCGAACTCTTAGGGCTTCCTGTTGGCTTTCCGGGAGCCCAGGGCTGGAAATGTTCGTTCGGCCCCCACCTGGACCGCTGGGCTCTTGGGAGCCTCTTTCCGGCCTCCTGGATGCCGCTTGATGCCGCTTGGGGGCCTCTTGGGGGCCTCTTGGGCTCTCTTGGGGGCCTCTTGGGCTCTCTTGGGGGCCCCTTGGGGCCTCCTCGGAGCATCCTGGACCGCTTCTTAAAGTTGTCATGGGACCTTCTTGGCGTGTCTTCGGGGGCCTCGTAGAAGAGTTTTGAAGCCTTTTGGGTGCCGTCTTGGGGCCTCTTGGAGCCCCTTTTGGGCTTCTTGGGGGTCTCTTGGGGCCTCTGGGGGGGCTCTCGGGGCTTCCCGGTAGCCTCTTGGGGGCCTCTTGGGGGCATCTTCGGGCGGAGAGCTTGATTTTTCAGTTCGCGTTCCCTCTCTTGTACCCTCTTGGGGCATTCTTGGGACCCTCTTGCGCCGTCTTGGGCGGCTCTGGGACCGTCTCGGGGCTCTCTTGGGCCGTCTTGGGGCCATCTTGGGGGCCTCGTGGGGCCTCTTGGGGGCCTCTCGGGACTTCTTGGGGGCTTCCTGGGGGCCTCTTGGATCTTGGGGCGGAGAGCTTGATTTTTCAGTTCGCGTTCCCTCGCTTGATCCCCTCTTGGGGCCTTCTTGGACCCCTCTTGCACCGTCTTGGGCGGCTCTGTGGCCGTCTCGGTGCTCTCTTGGGCCGTCTTGGAGCCCTCTTGCGGCCTCTTGGGCCGTCTGGGAGCGGTTTTGGGAGCCTCTTGAGCGGTGCTTTAGCGACGGAAACACGAAACATCGAGAATGCCGCCGGCCCCCTTGAGAGCCACCAGGCTGTAGGCCGAAGCTTCGCAGTTTCCTGTGCCAGCTGCAGCTTCCAATTTCCACTGTTACAGTTCTGCTTCTTGCTGCCTACTGCTCCTTGTTGATGGACCGCGCGAGGGGGGGGGGAAGCCCAAGCGGGCAGGTTTAGCACGCCCTGACCGTGTGGTCTGAATTGCTGGGGTGGGTAAAAACTTACACCCCTCACGCAGATCGGCGGGGTCAGGGTCCAAAAACACATGGGATGTGCGACATTTCTAAAAATCGCTGGCACCCCTCACGCAGATCGGCAGGGTCAGGATCCAAAAACACATGGGATGTGCCACATGTCTGAAATTCGGTGGCACCCCTCACGCAGATCGGCGGGGTCAGGGTCCAAAAACATATGGGATTTGCCACATTTCTGAAATTCGGTGGCACCCCTCACGCAGATCGGCGGGGTCAGGGTGCAAAAACGTATTGGATAGGCCACATCTCTGAAATTCGGCGGCACCCCTCACGCAGATCGGCGGGGTCAGGGTCCAAAAACATATGGGATTTGCCACATTTCTGAAATTCGGTGGCACCCCTCACGCAGATCGGCGGGGTCAGGGTCCAAAAACACATGGGATTTGCCACATTTCTGAAATTCGGTGGCACCCCTCACGCAGATCGGCGGTTCAGGGTCCGAAAACCCAAGGGATTCTCAACATTTCTGAAATCCGGTGGCACCCCTCACGCAGATCCGTAGGTCATGGTCCAAAAACAATAAGGAATTGCCACATGTGTTAAAACTCGGTGGCACGCCTCACGCAGATCGGCAGGGCCACGACGTCTTACCCATCGCCAGGTGTGGTAACCCCTCTGGTCATCTATTGGTTTTGCTAATTACGAGTCGGCCTCGCATGAAGTTTCGATACTGCTTCACGACAGCGCCCAGGCCTCATGACGTAGCTCTTGCATAGCGCATTCTCCGAGAGAAGGGCTGGCGGCAGGGGGCGAAACCCTTACGATTCAACGATTTTGCCCTCTCCGGGCGCTCTTGGGCGGCATGGACCTCCGGGGCAGTTTAAAACGCATCGTGCGACCTCTTGGGGGCCTCGTGGGACCTCTTGGGGGCTTCCTGGTGGCCTCTTGGGGCCTCTTGAGTCATCTTGGGACGGAGAACTTGATTTTTCAGTTCGCGTTCCCTCTCTTGGGCCCCTTTTGTGTCCTTCTTGGGACCCTCTTGCGCCGTCTTGGGCGGCTCTGGGGCCGTCTCGGGGCTCTCTTGGGCCGTCTTGGGGCTCTCTTCGGGGCCTCTTAGGCCGTCTTGGAGCGGTTTTGGGAGCCTCTTGGGCGGTGTTTAGCGTTGGACACACGAAACAGCGAGACTGCAAACCAAACATTAAAACAAAAATGCAAATCAACGGTTTTGCCCTCTCGGGGCGCTCTTGGGCGGCATCCTAAAAGCCTCTCGGGGCGTCTTGGGGGCCTCTGGGGCAATTTAAAACGTGTCGTGCGGTCTCGTGGGGGCCTCGTGGGGCCTCTTGGGGGCTTCCTGGGAGCCTCTTGGGGCCTCTTGGGAGCATCTTGGGGCGGAGAGCTTGATTTTTCAGTTCGCGTTCCCTCTATTGGGCTCCTTTTTTGGGTCCTTCTTGGGACCCTCTTGCGCCGTCTTGGGCGGCTCTGGGGCCGTCTCGGGGCTCTCTTGGGCCGTCTTGGGGCCCTCTTCGGGGCGTCTTGGGCTGCCTTGGAGCGGTTTGGGGAGCCTTTTTGGGCGGTGCTTTAGCGTCGGAGCGAGAATGCAAACCAAACATTAAAACAAAAATGCAAATCAACGGTTTTGCCCTCTCGGGGCGCTCTTGGGCGGCATCCTAAAGGCCTCTCGGGGCGTCTTGGGGGCCTCTGGGGCAATTTAAAACGTGTCGTGCGGTTTCGTGGGGGCCTCGTGGGGCCTCTTGGGGGCTTCCTGGGGGCCTCTTGGGGCCTCTTGAGGGCATCTTGGAGCGGAGAGCTTGATTTTTCAGTTCGCGTTCCCTCTCTTGGGCCCCTCTTAGGGGCCTTCTTGGGGCCCTCTTGCGCCGTCTTGGGCGGCTCTGGGACCGTCTCGGGGCTCTCTTGGGCCGTCTTGGGGCCCTTTCGGGGGCCTCTGGGGCAGTCTTGGGGCGGTTTGGGGAGCCTCTTGGGCGGTGCTTTAGCGCCGGAAGCACGAAACAACGAGAATGCAAAACGCAATGGAAAAAAACACTGATATCAACGATTGTGCCCTCTCGGGGCGCTCTTGGGCGGCATCTTAAAAGCCTCTCGGGGCGTCTCGGGGCCCTCTGGGGCAATTTAAAACGTATCGTGCGTCGCCAAAGACCCCTGGACGGCGTGTTGGAGGTGTCTCGAGACCGTCTGGGGCCTCTGGGATTGCTGTCTGAGGGTTCCCCGGGGCAATTTCTCCCAGAGGCGGGCCGGCGCGCCGGGCACCACGCGCGCGCTTCGCGCGCGCTTAGGTTCTCGCGTATCACAGACGCAGGATTCGTTGTGCGAAAAACGTGTTTGGAGTTTGTCCCAAGCAAGTGAGGACGCCAATGGCAACACCTGCTTGAGGCACCGCCGGGGACGGACCCTGTGTAGAATATGGAAAATCCTCTGGTCGACCCTGTTGGGCGCGCCTTGGGGCTCTCTTGGGCCGTTTTGGGGGGCCCATTGGGGTGCTATTTCGAAGCCTCTTTTTGTATGTTTTCAAATCTCTTGGGGGCCTTTGGGGGCTTCTTGGGCGCATCTTGGAGCCTCTTGAAGTCTCCTGGGGGCCTCTTGGGTCGGGGATCTTCTGACCCGGGTCAATCCAGACCCGGGTCAGCAGGAAACCAAAAACTGCAATGCAGGAAAAAAAACTGCAACGCAGGTCCTCGCAAACCCGGGTCAGCCAATACGCGCGGTCGCCTCGCGGCCACGAGCGGCTCCCTAACCCGGGTCAGCCAGAGGGGGCCTTCGCAGGATCCTGCAGGATCCGGCGCCCTGGCTGACCCCCGTTTGCACTGACCCCCGTCTCGAGGCTCCCGACTGGGCCAAAGCGTCTTGGCGCCGGCTCGAGGCGTTCTTGGGCAGTTTGGGCGCCTCGGGGGCCGTTTTGGCCCCTTCTTGGGCCGTCTTGAGGCCCTCTTGGGGGCATCATTTGCCGCCTTGGGTGCCTCCTGGGCCGTCTTGGACGCAGTGGAGGCCCAAAAGGCGAACACGTCAAACATATCAAGTTCCCCCGTGGGAATCCACGATGTTTGCTGATTGGGGCTGTATTGGAGTGCCCCTTGGGGCGTGTTCGGGGGCTCTTTTTGTGTTTTTCCGGGTCTCATGGGGGCCTCTTGGGGCTTCTTGGGCGCTTCTTGGAGCCTCCTGGGGTTGGGCCACATGGCTCGCATTTTCGGTTCCTCGTCCCCGTCTTGGGCGCCGACTTGGGGCGTCGTTGGGCGGTTTAAGCGTCTCGTGGGCCGTCTTGGCCCCCTCGTGAGCCGTCTTGAAACTCTCTTGGGGGCATCCTCGACCGTTTTGGGTGCCTCTTGGGCCGTCTTGGACGCAGTGGAAGCCCCAAAGGCGAGCACGCCAAACATATTAGTTGTCTTACCGGAAATCGACGATGATCGCTTATTTGGGGCTCTATGGGGTGCCTCTTGGGGGCCCCCTGGGGGGTCTATTGGGGGCCTCTTGGAGCCTCTGGGGGGCCTCTTGGGGCCTCCAGGGGTCCTCTTGGGGCCTCCTGGGAGCCTCTTGGGGCCGAAAGCTTGGAATTTGCATATGGTTGTGCACATTTGAAACCCCTCGGGGACTCGTCCTGGAGCTCTCTTGGGTTGTCTTGGGGGCCTCTCGGGCCGTCTTGGGACCCTGTTGGGGTCGCTTCGGAACCCTCTGGGGGGCCTGCGGGGCAGTCTTGGGGGCTTCGTCCTGGACGCAGTGGAAGCCCACAAGGCGAACACGCTAACAATATGTGTTTCCCCATCGGAACGTTTTTGCCGATTGGGGCTCTCTCGGGGTGCCTCTTGAGGCGTCCTTCGGGTGCCTTCGGGTGCCTTCTCGGCGTCATGAGAATCGTCTTGACAAGCGTCTGGAACCATCGCTGCGGCCTCCTGGGGCCTCCCTGCAGCCTCTTGGGGCCCCGTTGGCCCCGAGTCTCCGAAACCCCGTAATGACGCAGGGAAAATGACGCCCGGGCCCCGCATTCGCGGCCAGGGCGCCGGCCCCCGGCCCCCCGGCCCGGCCCCCCGTTATATTCATATAACAGCCCAGCAAGCCCCAGAATGAACAGTTGTGTGTTACTGCTGCTGCGCTATAAGATTTGGTTCGGGGTTGCTTGTTTGTGTGGTTTGTTGTTGTTCTTTGTTGATGATTTCTGATCGTGGTTTATAAGCTTTTACAAGTGATGGTTGGTTGTTGGTGTGGTTGGAGTTTGTTGTTGCCGGTTGTTGTTTGATGCGTTTGCTTGTTTTGATGCGTGCTGAATTAGGTGGTTGTTGTTTTTGCGGTCGATGGTTGCTCCTCCTTTTTAAAAAGCAATGTCAAGTACTTGTAGTTGTTTCCGTCGAAACATGTATTTTCCATGATTTACTTGATGTTCGATGCGGGTTTCATGATGTTGCACGCTTCTACACTGTTGCCAGCTGGTTTGGGAAAATTTGGGCCGGTCACTGGTCGCCACCAACCGCCCGCCAACCATCCACCGACCACTCACCGACCGTTCACCGACAAACAAATACCCAAATTTGTAGAACACGCAGAGACCTGAAACCCGCATCGAGAACCAATGACATCATGGCACTTATAACTGGAACAGTTCAAGAACGACAAAAAAAACAACTGAAAAGAAACAAATGGATAGCTTGGGCAGCTCGGGCTTGTGCAGGATATTGTTTTTTTTCTTGTTCTTCGCCAGGGGCGGCACCGGGCGGCGCACGGAAGCCTCGTACCCCATCGTGGCCGCCCGGCGCCGGGACGGAGAGGGCAGCACACCGTTGAACCGAGAAGTCTTGAGCCAATCATCATCTTGGCTCGAGACTATCATCATCAGGAAGGGTAAAACACAGCACACACCAATTATGTTTGCTGCGTGTGCCGTGCGATGTTTGTTGCTGGTGTGTGATGCGTGATTTTTGTCCCTGGTGTGTGTGTGTGTGTTGCGTAGTTGTTCCCAACCATCCCGTCGGGTTGGAATCTCGTTTTAAAAAGACAGCGCCTCGACGACGACGACGACGCCGCCGTCGTCGTCGTCAAGGCGGGGGGGGAGGAGAGGAAGAGCGGAGAAGGAACACCTGGAGCAGATTCAGGGCCCAGAGGGGGTTGTTCTGGGCTGTTGCGGGCTTTGCCAAGTGGTTCCCGAATACCGGCTGCCCGTTGCTCAGGATCCACTCGACACGGTTCCGGCACGAGTCGGAACCACCGTACATCATGTTCCCGCTGTACTCGCACTGCGCGTCGCAACCGCCTGTGGGGCTCGGCGAAGTCGGAGCTGGCGTAGATGTCGCGGAAGGTGCTGCTGTGGGCGCTGGCGTGATGCCCGAAGTCGGTGCTGGCGTAGATGTGGCGGAGGGCTCTGGCGCCTGGCAGGAGCACTGCCCGCTGCACTCCTCGTTGACCTGGCTCGTGGCCGCCGCCGCACTCTTGCCGCCGTGCTCGACCAGCCAGTTGATGCGACCGCGGCACGAATGCGAGCTACCATTGTCCGCTACTGCGCTTGCAGCGGCTAGCGTGGGTCGGGCCCTTGTTTCTTTCGTGATTGCCGCTTCTTGCGAGGCAGCACTCAGGGCCCCCCGACACATTCAGCCCAGCACGCCATGAGGTTGTTGCTTCAAGTCCCTGCGTGGTTGGCCCCGGCAGAAAATGCTTGCAACAACGAAGGTCGGGGTGGTAGGCACGCCCCCTGGATGCCCTGGGGGTATCCGCCCGTCCACCACGCCTCCTTCCCCCGCCCCCGTGACGGCCCCGAGAAGCCTTCCAAAAAAAACAGAAGTGAACCCAGGCACGCTACGGTCTGACATCTGAAAATTGCCAGCTTCCCAACTGATGGAAGGGGACTCCACCGCGCACCAACTGGCGATCCCAGAAGAGGAGGAGGAGATAGGGCGCAACTCTAGAGATACAAGTTCCAACAGGAAACGCATCAACCTGAGCGGGTAAATGTTGCATCGTGTACTCGTTTGCTCGCACGGCCACTGCAAACGTACACGCACAACTTTAAACGAGAGGGGAAGAAGGCGAGAGGAGCACCACAGGGCTCCGCGACGCCAACATAACCTCCAAATCTAACAAGATGGCCATTTACGGCCTCCACGACGGCCCGACATAGCCTCAAAGACAGCCGCGATGTCCACAAGATGTTCTCAAGAGGCCGCCCAGAAGGCCCAAGAGGGTCCCAAAGCGCCTTCCAGGACGCGTCCGAAAGTAATACTCGTCAAACACACATGCAGGGTGGCACATTTCTAACACTCGCACATTTTTGGTCTTGACAGCTTAGCGGCCTCCAAAATCGCTCCAAGACAGTCAAGGAGGCCCCCAGGAGGGAGCCTCCCAAAGGCCCCACGCGGCACAGAAAAAGCCCCCGGGAGGCCGCGAAGATGCTCTTCCCAAAGCCCCCCACGAGGCCCCCACGAGGCCCCCAAGCGGCCCCCACGAGGCCCCCACGAGGCCCACAAGAAGCCCACAAGAAGCCCCCAAGGGCCTCAAGAAGCCCCCTAAGGCCCCGACAGGTCCCTAGAAGCCCCAGAGAGGCTCCCAAGAGCCCCCGGGGAAGCCACCAGACTCTCCCACTCCTCTTTCCCTCATAGTTTTGCTTCTCATCCTCCTCCACTGTCCCTTTGACAATCAACTTGTTGTCTTCAGCAACCGAACATTACCTTGGTGTCTCATGTTGTCTCAGGCATTTCAGTGTGATGAAATATGTGCGGTGCAGCCAGTGTGATTCGATGTGTGTGGTGCAATATTCGTGTCGTGCATTGCCCTGCTTGCCTTGCAGCGCTGCAGCCTCGCTGCATAGCTTCCTCAAGCGCGGTGGCGGATAGGCGCGGCAGCGCCCTGGGATAGTTGCAAGGGAGGTCGCAGCCTCCACCCAACGTAGGAGCTGCTGTCGGCGCCAGCGTGGTTGCCGAAGTCGGAGCTGGCGTAGATGTCGCGGAAGGTGCTGCTGTGGGCGCTGGCGTGATGCCCGAAGTCGGTGCTGGCGTAGATGTGGCGGAGGGCTCTGGCGCCTGGCAGGAGCACTGCCCGCTGCACTCCTCGTTGACCTGGCTCGTGGCCGCCGCCGCACTCTTGCCGCCGTGCTCGACCAGCCAGCTGATGCGACCGCGGCACGAATGCGAGCCACCATTGTAATTGCAAGGGGCGTCGCAACCCCCTTCTGGGGAGACCAAAAGGTACCAGCACCGCTACTCCCAAGACCTCTCCCGGGGTACGTTCTGACCAGAATTTCGAAGCGAATCCAACGGTGGCGACGAAGGCCTCCAAGGAGGCCAAGAAAGGGAAAACGAGGGAAAGGTAGAGGTATGGGTACCCTTTCCTCCTCTGACCTTCTGGCAGTGTAGGCTCCACAGCGCCGTGCTGCACCGGAACGTACTGGCGCCGGCGCCGTCGGTGGGCCCGCTCCAGAGTGGTCGCCTCCGCCTGCCCAGCCAACAAGCGGAACTTCTGCCCGCAGTCTCCCAGGGCTGCCCCCGTCTCGGGCCCTGTCTGGCCGCTGGCAAAGAAGCGCCGGTCCGAGTCCGCGGCGGCTATGCAGGAGACTCGGCCCCGGTCGGTGACCAGGGTGAGGGTCACGGCCTCGGCGGCGTTGCCCAAGCTCTGCGACGCGTGGGGGTCTGAGAACTCGATGATGATGTCGCCAGGCTGGCCGGCGTCTGGTAGCCACCTGAGACCTTCCACAGTGTAGCTAGCCCCAGCAACCACAGGGGCCGCATAGCTGCCCTGATTGTTCCATGTGCGGCTGGGGTCGTGGAAGGGGGGATTCCACCAGAGGCTGCCGACGTTCATGCCGAATGTAGGCTCGGAGTCGTCACGACTGACACCTTCATAGCCAGGACCGCGAATGGTGATGCGCCCGAAATTGGGACCGAATATGTTCAAGCGGCGAACCGGAGTGGTCTTCGCGCAGCCAAAACCTCCACCCCACTTGCTGAGGGGGCCCTGGCATCCAGGCACGAGCGCGAAGCCGTTGAGGTGCGGGCTGACAATCGCTCCGTAGCCGTCCAGAGACTCGTCGGCCGCCACCCACAGGATCCGGACCGGATCGCCGCCGCTGCTGCCGAAGCTGATCACCTGCGCACCACTGTCCCTGACCCAGCCGTACATGTGCGTCGTGGAGTCCAGGCCCACCATGTGGTTCTGCACGTTGCAGGTCATGCCCTGGAGGGGGCCGCCCAGGTCGGGGCTGCCGAAGCAGTGCTGGGGGGAATGTAGCTGCGCCCGTCCAGCCAGGGTCACGCCCTCCATGGTGAAGGTGAAGGCCCCCCCGGGGAGCCGAGCGGTGGTGTCCGCGAAGACGGAGTCGCGGATGTGTACGGCGGTCGGGTCGGCGAAGTTCTTCGACCGCTTCCAATACATGCCCGTGTTGCAATCGACCGCTTTGAAGCGCAGGTACATGATGTCGCCGGCCGTGTACTGGCCAACGAAATCGTTGTGGTAGTCTAGGCAGTCCTCCACCACGGACGCTGGGACCACCCCGTTGTCCCTACCATCGGGCGTGAGTTCCTGCCAGCACCTCTGCATGTCGATGACGTAGCCGTTCTCGTCACGGGGGCCCACGTTCCGGGGGAACTGGTTGTCTGGGTAGATGCCGAAGTAGGAGTTGTCGTGATTGACATTCCCGCGCATGATCCCATATGGAAGGTGCCTCGGGCAGACTTTCCCATGTGCTTCCCCCTCGCCGAGGTGGTGGAGGCCGCCGGGTGTGAAGAGGCCGTGCTGATGACCGACAATGTGGTTGCCGATAACGTCGTTAGTCACGCCAACCATGTAGATGCCCACGCCCTCGCCTGCGTTCGCGCCCTTTACGATGCAGTAAGGACCGCTGGGACCCCCGCTGCGCTTCGAGTCGTCCCAGTAAGGGCATATGATTGTGTTGTGGCTGATCGTGTTGTTCATCTCGTTCCCGTCCTCCGTGTAGATCCCGACCCCTCTGTTCATCCAGAGGACGTTGGAGTCGACAGTGGTCCGGTGGGTCCCATGAATGGTGATGCCCGACTGGAAGGACTCGACAATGGCGTTGCCCTGGAAAATGCACTCCGGGCACTGCCCCAGCAGGTGGAAGTGCAGACAGTAGCGGCCCTTGATGCCGTTCTGGCCGCAGTACTCCACCCTCGCGTGACGCACCACGCCCACACTGCCGGGCCCCATCATCACGTGCAGTCCTTGGCGCGTGGCGAGGAAGTCCTGATGGTCCCCGGTGATGAGCACGGAGCGCTCCATGTTCACCACCTCGGCAGCGAGCTCGAACTGCTGCCCCTCGACGTCCTTCATGCCGCCCATCCGTGCGGCCTGGAGCGGTGGCGACACGCGGAGCCCGGAGGGCAGCAACTCCACGATGGTGTGCTCGCTGGAATCGCTCTGGCGGGCCCGCGTGGTGGCCACGCCGACGCGGTCCCCGACGCGCCAGCCCATGTCTCCCGGGTCGTGCTTCAGGGCCAGCTGCGAGGAGCCCTGGGCGGCACCGCTGGAGAGCAGGGACATCGTGCGCGCCAGGGGGCGGCCGTGTATCTCGATGCGGGAGCTGCCCCTGCTGCCGACGAAGCGGCTGCCCATGGGTCCGGAGAGCGACCCGCACTGCTTGATGTAGATGGTGGCCCTCAGCTCCATCGGCGCGTCCGTGGTGCCTATCTCGAGCAGGCCTCCGTCCTCAACCATGACGTGGCAGGCGCGCAGTTCCAGCCCGTCCTTCGCCGTATCCCACCTGAGCGGCGGCCCGGACAGCTTTATCATCCCGAGTCCTTCTTCGACGGTTCCAGGGCGCGGGGAAAGCCAAAAATGGTGAACGACCTCAGGATCCCTTTCCCTAAGGACCGTGCTTCTTTAGCCTGGACCCCTTCCTCGGGACTGACCTCGCATCCCGAGCCGTTGTTTGACGGCCTTCAAAAAAGCTATCGAGGTGCTGAAAATCGTCCAGAGCCTTCCGTTTGGTTCTTTCTCGCGACGCGAGGGTGTCTGGGCTGAGCTGTTCTTGAAAGCGCTGGGAGCGTTTCTTGCCCCCTGTTTCCACTATTCGCTTTGACTCTTACCCGAACTACAATTTGAAAGCGGCACCTCCATGTGCAGAAAGTGCACTTCAGGCAAGCGGCACTGTGATATCTGCATTCGAAGAAGCAATATTGAAAATGGGCAGGTGACCACGGGCCGATACTACACCTGAGAACGTGACAACGACTGCGCCACAAACTGGAAGATCAACTCTCCTGGCGAAGGACCCAACAATGTGCGGATGTGAGCACCGCACTTGTGAACATCGCCTTCAACATCGCTCCCTGCGGGGCACGAACCGTGTGAGGGGTGTGCCGGAAGGGGCCCGGGTGTCTCTGGGCCCTCCGTTGAAGCTCCCTGCGGGGCCACGAAGCGTGTGAAGGGTGTGCCGGCATGGGTCAAGGGACGCATGCGAGCTGTGCCACTCCGGCCTGAGGTGGAGCTCCCTACGGGGCCACAAAACGTGCGAAGGATGCGGCATGGGCCGCCCAAGGGCTTCGGTGGAGCCCCCTGTGGGGCAACGAAGCGTGTGAGGGATGTGCCGAGATGGGTGGGAACCGTTTGCAAAACCACTCTTCTGGGGGCTCCGGTGCAGCTCAGCTCCCTGTGTGTCACCAAACGTGTCAGTGGTGTGCCAAAATGTGTGGTAACCGCACGCGGGCTCACTCCCTGAGGGCTTCGGTGGAGCTCCCTGTGGGGTCACGCAACGTGTGACGGGTGTGCCGAAGCGGGTGAGAACCGCATGCGACCCACCCCTCCCCTGAGGGTCTAGGTGGAGCCCCCGAAAGGCCACAAGACACGTGAGAGGGGTGCGCCGAACTGGGTGAGAACCGAGTGCGACACTCCCCCCTCCTGGGAGCTTCAATGGAACTCCCCATGGGGCGACGAAGCGTGTGAGGGGTGTGCCAATGAGTGAAAACCGCATGCGGTCCCTCCTTCCTCCCTCTCCCCTGAGGGCTTCGGTGGAGCTCCCTGTAGGGCAAGGAATCGTGTGAGGGGTGTGCCGAAACGTGCGCGCAGAGGACAATGGCAGACAGGGGATCAGAGAGGAGGAGAGGAGAGGAGGAAACGCGGGGCTCTGCTGATTCCAAGCGAGAACTCACCACCACAGGAAATCATGAACAAACGCATGACCGTGACAATTCTCCTTGCGAGGGGCCAAACCATTTGCAGCCGTGAGTACCGCAATAGCAAATATCTGATTCGGTGGCGATCCCTATGGGGCCACGAAACGTGTGAGGGGTGTGCCGACATGGGTGGCGCGGACGCATGTGGACACCGCCACTGGAGCCTTCGGTGGAGCTCCCTGTGGGGCCACGCAACGTGTGAGGGGTGTACTGACATGGGTGGCGCAGACGCATGTGGACACCGCCACTGGGGCTCCCTATGGGGCCACGAAACGTGTGAGGGGCGTGCCGACATGGGTGGCGCGGACGCATGTGGACACCGTCACTGGGGCCTTTCGATGGAGCTCCCTATGGGGGCACAAAGCGTGTGAGGGGTGTGCCGACATGGGTGGCGCGGACGCATGTGGACACCGCCACTGGGGCCTTTCGCTGGAGCTCTCTATGGGGCCACGCAACGCGTGTGAGGGGTGCGCCGGAATGGGTGGCGCGGACGCATGTGGACACCGCCACTGGGGCCTTCGGTGGAGCTCCCTATGGGGCCACGAAGCGTGTGAGGGGTGTGCAGGCGGGTGGCGCGGACGCATGTGGACACCGCCACTGGGGCCTTCGGTGGAGCTCCCTTTGGGGCCACGAACCATGGGAATGGTGTGCAGACATGGGTGGCGCGGACGCATGTGGCTGGGGCCTTCGGTGGAGCTCCCTATGGGGGCACGAAGCGTATGAGGGGTGTGCCGACATGGGTGGCGCGGACGCATGTGGACACCGCGCCTGGGGCTTTCGGTGGGCCTTCGCTGGAGCTCCCTATGGGGCCACGAAGCGTGTGAGGGGTGTGCCGACATGGGTGGCGCGGACGCATGTGGACACCGTCACTGGGGCCTTTCGGTGGAGCTCCTTATGGGGCCACGAAATGCGTAAGAGGTGCGCCGAAATGGGTGGCGCGGACGCATGTGGACAGCGCGACTGGGGCTTCGGTGGAGCTCCCTTTGGGGCCACAAACCATGTGAGAGGTGTGCAGACATGGGTGGCGCGGACGCATGTGGACACCTCCACTGGGGCCTTCGGTGGAGCTCCCAATGGGGCCACGAAACGTGTGAGGGGTGTGCCGAAGCTGATGGCGGTGATGGTGATGATGACGGCGATGATGACGACGATGGTAGTGATGACGACGATGATAATGATAATGATGATGATGATGATGATGATGATGATGATGATGATGATGATGATGATGATGATGATGATGATGATGATGATCATGATGGTGGTGCTGATGATGATGACGACGATGACGATGGTGACGACGACGACCACGATGATGATAATGATGATGCTGTTGCTGATGCTGATGCTGCTGCTGATGATGATTCTGATTATGATGATGATGATGATGATGATGATGATGATGATGATGATGATGATGATGATGATGATGATGATAATGATAATGATGATGATGATGATGATGATGATGATGATTAATGATGATGATGATGATGATGATGATGATGATGATGATGCTGATGATGATGATGTTGATGATGATGATGATGCTGATGATGATGATGATTGCGATGACGAAGACGATGATGACGATGCTGCTGGTGGAGGGAGGGAGGAGGGTGAGGAGGCAGGAAGGAGTGGACGCGGGGCGCTGTCTCTTCAAAACGAGAACCCAACCCCACAGGATGGTTGGGAGCAAAAAACACCCCCAACGTTTTCAAGCTCATCTCAAGATCTGGCATCGAAGACGATGCTGGCATGGTGGCCTCAACTCCCCTCGAATGGTGAGCGACTCGACGTCGATGCTGGCGTCCAGCACCCACGCGGCGCCGGCGGGCACCTCGCACCGCGACCCGGGGGCGCACGCCGCCGATGCCTTGGGGCATCGAGGGGGAACGATAGGGGGCACCATCGAGCTGGGATCGGTGACGAATCACCGACAGATCGGGAATGGGCCCCCGATGGCGAGACCGCACGTTCCTCAGCGGGGTGGGCCATCCGGCCCCCTGTCGGCGATGAGGTTGTGCTTCGGTGTCGGTGCGTTGCCCCCGCGTGCCTGCCTATTCCCCCCTAGAGTGCCCCATGAGGGGCAGGGCGAGAAGAAAGTGTGCGCCACGGTGCGCTGGTGCTGGACGGGCACATCCTGGGGCCAGGGTCAGTGCACGTGCCCTCCTTGGAAGAAGAAGAAGAAGAAGAAGACGAAGAAGAATAAGAAAAACAAGAAAACGGTACCCAGGAAGAGGTCCCTCTGGGGAGACATTTTGTCAAACATCGACGTCGGAGTTCTGGGTCCTGGCCCAGAGCTGCAGATTGTGATTATGCAGATAGTGGTGGTGGTGGCGATGGTGGCGGTGATGGTCCAAATCAGAGCAAACCAACTCGAAGCCTTTGGACGCAGATGTTTGGAGAAGCCTCCTCCATGGGGACAGCAGTTCAGCGAACGAGAACGTCTAGGTTGCGAAGAAAGGAAAAAAGAGTGCAGCGGCAACGGCCTCCGGAAATCCATCCGACCAATAAACCGATAAACCGATGAAAAATTATCGGTTGATCGGTTGATCGGCAAATCGACCGATAAACCGATATGATTACTTCGATGTATCGGTTGATAAACCGATAAACCGGTCAACCGATAAACTTTATCTGCGAACATAGAGACGATGGCTGGCGCGCTCTCTTTCTCTTCGTCGGTGTATCGGTTTATCGGTTTATCTGTTTATCGTCTCATCGGTGACTAAAACCGCTGGCGGCAACCCTGAGGAGTCGATCCTTGCGAAACATATCGGTTTACCGATTTATCGGTTTATCGGCCGGTTGTCAGTCTCCCGCCGCGACGACGACGGCGACGGCTCTGGGGCGGCTCTCCCTGATCAGCGTGAATTTTGTGATTGGCTCTAGTGCGGACGAAGTTCCGCAGGGGTCCGAGCTTCTCCCGTTGCATACAATGATCTGCGTGGTAGCGTAGGCCCTGCGAGGGTCTCAAGCGACAGTGGTCGAACCAACTTGGGGCAGGGCATATCCGAGGTCAGATCTCTTAGGATGCTTAAGGCGAAAGTGGCCTGAGCACTCAGCTCAAGGCATCTCAGAACCGAGGGTTACGAGGATGTCTCATGCGAAAATGGCTTGAACAGGTCAGCTTTAGGCGTCTCGGAATCCACTGTTGCGAGGATGTCGCAGGCGAAAGCGGCCGGACCGCCATGGGGTGGGGCATCATCGAAATTAGAGGTGCGAGGGCGTATCAGGCGAAAGTGGCCTGAACACCGAATCTCGCGGCAGATCCGGTGTCAGACTACTTCAAGGCAGGGCGCATCCCAGGTCAACGCTGCAAGTTTGTCTAGGCGGAACTGGCCAGCACAATTTGGGGCAGGGAGTATCTGAGGTTAGCGTTGCGAGGATGACTCAAGCGAAAATGGCGCGAATATCTTTGCTCAGGGCATCCCAGAACCCACAGCTGCGAGGATGCAGCAGGCGAAAGTGGTCTGATCACCATGGGGCTGGGGGCAGGGCAACTCCGCGGTCAGACATGCGAGGATGTCTGACGCGAAAGTGGCCTGAACACCTCAACCCTGGGCGTCTCGGCAGCCACAGTTGCGGGGATGTTACAGGCGAAAATAACCAAACCACCATGGGGCAGGGTACCTCCGAGGTCAGATTTGCAAGGAAATCTTAAGCAAAAGTAGTATGTCCACCTGAGCCGAGGGCGTTTCGGAATCTAGAATCCCACCAGCCCTCTGGGCGTCGGTGATTTAGGGCGTTTCCTCTTCCACCCCTTCTTCTTCCCCTTCGGGGAGGGGTTTACCCCTCCCTCTGCCCCCTCCCCATGGACCTGGACGGGGGGGGCGGGGAGGTGTCAGGGCGTCCAAACGGCCTCGGCGAGGAAACAAAATCATTGGTTTTACTCTGGTGTTGGCCCCATTTTGGCCTCCTGGGGGGGGACCGTAATTAAGGGCCCCCCCTTCGTTGACCGATATTATCATCCAAGATGGCCCCAAGAGAGCCCCTAAAGCTTCCAAGAATGCCCCGACAAGGCCCCCAAGGGAGCCCAGACGGGCCCAAGAGGTGCCCAGAAGGCCCCAAGAGGCCCCAGGATGGCCCCAAGATAGCACCAAAATGGCCCCAAGAGACCCCCAAAAGACACCCAAGAGAACCCCAAGCGGCCTCCCCGAGGCACCCAAGACGTCCAAGAGTCCTCAGGACCGCTAAGAGACCCCCGAGACGTCCCAAGAGGCTTCAAAACAACCACCCACGAGATATTCCAAGGGGCTCCGAGAGGCATTCAAGAGACCTCCAAGAGACCCGAAGAGGCTTCACGAGGATCCCCGAAGCCCCCAAGATCCCCCCCCAGACGCTCCAAGAGGTTTCCAAAACAACCCTCAAGAGACATCCTAAGAGGATCATATGTCCGCCCTGTTTCCTCCTCCTTCTCCTTGTCCTTCTTCTTTTTCCCATCCTCCTCCTCCTCTCCTCCTCCTCCTCCTCCTCCTCCTCCTCCTCATCCTCCTCCCCCTTACCCGTCTACTCATCATCCGAGAACCAGCACCATCAGCAACAACAGCAGCAGCACTAGCAACAGCAACAGCAGCAGCAGGACCAGCAGGAGCAAGAACACCAGCAATAACACTTGCAACCTTCGCCACACGAGATCTCCCAATTCACCGTTGTTGCCCGCTCCGGTTCACTATGTGATTCTCTTCTTCCCTTCTTCCGTCAGCTTTCCTGGGCATCGTTTCTGGATGGGCTGGTGGGGATACTTGTTTAGTCATCGGCCGAAGGCGAGCGCACCAGCGGCGAGTCAGGTCAAAGCGGGGCACGCAACGACGAATTACCTAAAGCGGCGGGGCGGAGCCTCACGCAGCACCTCAGCGGCGGGCCGGCGAGTGGAAGGGGCTGGCTGTGGCTGAATACCACTACTGCCAGGGTGCACGTATGCAACGCGTCGGAAGCTGCAGGTAGACGGGAAGACCGGCGACCAGGGACAGTAGCAGACGCGTAATTAGATGCAAGGGCGTAAGCCCCCGACTACTGCGAAGGTACCAGGGTGGCCGCGGCCAACTGAACCGACTGTCCGAGGTCGAATTGGGGCCCCGTGTGGGCGTGAGCTGGCAGGCTGCGAGGTACCGGGGTGGCCGGGACCAGGAGGCTCAACAGCAGCAGAACGCACAAGTGCGAGGAGCAGCCAAGCTGCAGCGCGGCCAAAATGGCGCGGGGCACCACGAAAGAAGCCGTGGTAACAACCCCGGAAACCAAGCTGCGGCCCGAATCCAGACGGGTGCAAGAGGTGGCGCCAGCGAAGTCGCGCACCAGAAGCCCTGAGTAGGGAACGCGTGCCCGAAGTCAGCACACCGGTGGTGGCGACAGACGTACACTGACACCGCGGGGAGAACTCCAGTACTGAAACCAGGGTGGCAACCGCGGAGTGGCGGAAACACGGAGTGCCTAGGCTGAACCGGCCCCCACCCAGGGGGAGGAAAACCGCGACGTGGGCGGAAAAGCAGAGAAGCCAGGGCCGGCGGGGGACGACCCACCGAACTGGCAGGGAGACCGGGAGCCCAGCCGAGGGGGGGGACACCCCGACACGGCAGGGCGCCCGGGGGCGCGGGGGAGGGACGCGCCAAGAGTGAAAACAACTACAGCGGGCCGAAGGCCGACGGGGGACCGGTGGACCACGGTCCCAGCGGTAGTCCAAGAGCCAGTATTGTCAGCAGACCGCTGCCCGTGTTCCCAAGGGCGGGGAGCAGCGGGGGCTGGGCAGGGAGCGGCACCAGGGAAGGAGCACTGCCTGCAGGTCCGGCGACGGCCACAGCACGGATTGCAGCGATCGCGTCTAGGGTGAAACATTATGCCCACGTTTTTTATATATAGCAAAGCGAAGCGTCATAGAATTACGAGGATGTCTCTGGCGAAAGTGGCTGGACTACCATGGGGCAGGGCATCTTGGAATCCAGAAGTGTGAGGATGGCTCAGGCGATGGTGGCCAGATCACCTCGCCTCAAAACATATCGGATCCCAGAACGCCGAGGATGTTTCAAGCGGAATGCGCCGGAGTTGTGAAGATGTCCATGGCGAGTTCCTTTAGAAAATCACATGTCGTGGCGCGTTGGAACCCAGACTTCCGACGATGTCTCGCGCGAAACGGGCTTACTCCTCCTCCGGGCGTGTCCCCCTCCAGGGGGATTTTCGACGAAAAAATAAAAATACCACAGAAATCCTACAAGAAGGTCAAAAAATACTAAAAAAATAATCCCCATACTATTTTTGTAATATTTTTTGATTACTTTTGGAGTATTTTATATTTGTCGTCGAAAATCCCCCTGTAGGGGGACAGGCTCTTCCTCCGCCTCCTCCTACTCCTCCTCCTCTTCCTTCTCCTCCTCCTCCTCCTCCTCCTCATTCTCCTCGTCCTCCTCGTCCCCCCCGTCCTCCTCATCCTACTCCTACTCTTCTCCGCACGCTCCTCATCCTCCTCCTGCTCCTCCTCCACCTTTTCCTCCTCACCATCCTCGCCATCATCCTCCCGGCCACGCGCGGGCGCGGGCGCGCGCGCGGGCGCAGCGACGGCGGCGACGGCGGCGGCGACAGCAGCGGCACCGGCGACGGCGGCAGCGCGACGCACAGATATCTTCGCGCCCTCGCGAGGCCATCGCGAGGCCACCTGGGAGGACGGCAGCTCTGTAGCCTAGGCCGCGACGCGTGAAGCAAGATTATCTTCGCACCCCTGGGGTGACCGAGTCTCAGACAGCCGCCGAAGACCTCCTCCTCCCGCTCCTCGTTGTCCTCTTCCCTCCTCCTCCTTTTCCTCCTCCTCCTCCTCCTCTTCCTTATCCTCCCCCTCTTCCTCTTCCCTCCGCCTCCCCCCCTCCTCCTGCTCGTCTTCCTCCT